GTTAGGGCTCGGCAGTTTTAGCTTTGCTGTACAGAGAGATGTGTGGAGCCACTGACTACAGGCGTAATGCTATTGGCGGATGTCTCCTGCTGCTGCAGTCTTGGACATGGTATCGATTGCCCTTTTTATGTCCCATTGTGAAGAACCCATTCTTATTTACACTACTTCTGAGGTAATTATAAAACTGATTTTGTATATTAATAATTTTATACAGTGTATAATAATATTTTTCCCTTGAATAGGTGGTTTACTGATAGGAAAAATCATCAGGAGCTACCTGATGATTTAGAAAAAATTAGGGTGCTAATCGATCAGAAGACTGGCACACAGGTATGAATTTTAATGTTTAAAAATCGATTTTAGATTATAGTTATATAATTAGATTATTATTTTGATAAAAATTATATATTATTTGTTTTAGTTTGAATGGGTGTCATATTCTACTGATGATGTGAGGGCGGTGATCCCACCTGAGTTGAGGGTCCATCAGATGTTTGGATGGCGATGGTCCCTCTGATCTGTTATGCGACCGTCGAGTGGCACTCCACTGATCGCGTGCTCCGGCAGTTTGGTTGTTTTAAACCAATTCCGGAAGCACCTCGCAATATGGACGAGTTGCATAACTTAGATAGATGTGGCAAGACAGATACAAATTGGCTGGTAAGGCATCATGAGTGGGTCGTGTTGTGGGAGGATCGACATCGGCGCCTTCCACGTAGAGAGCCCATTTTTACTGACTTCTTGATGTATGTTGAGGATTATTATGAGTGGTTCAACAGTAACGAGAAACCGTTTCTACTTCCCGAGGATGCACGATGGTAGACCTTTCCACGACGTCGACAGAGACGTTCACCGACACAGCACCATCGTCCCCTGACTCGTAGACGGAGAGCATGTGCTTTCGGTTCATCCTCAGCTGCACCAGCAGGACCTTCCCAGCAGCTACCGCAGCCGTATATGATATCGCAGCCATATATGATGCCGCAGCCATATATGATGCCACCATCGCCTTTCCATTACCAGATGCCGCTGCCGCCGCCTTCACCTGGTTTTATGACCCCGCCACCGCCACCGTCACAGATGACCCATCCTGGAGGCTATTATGGGTCTATGTTTACAGATTCGACTTGGGGTTCATATGCTGGATATTTGGCAGGTTCATCCTCATCACCCATGGTCGCAGCACAGACACCTCTTGTACAGTTTTCACACTCAGCGATGTCTGGATTTTCCCAGTTTTCACATGCCGATGGGATAGTCAGTCATATACCTCTAAGGTCCTTATTCTATGGAGGTGCTTCATCGTCATCAGCTCCTCATCAACCTGATGTACCTGCTCAGAACGACGACGACGATGACGACGACTATGACGAATTGACGATGATGATGACAGCGAGGAGTCAGAACCAGTGATACGAAGAAATCCTCCTCGAGATCGACAGCCACCACCATGCGGAACACATTCTCGACGCAGGCATCGATAGATTTTTTTTATTATATTTGTATTTACTTTATTTTGTTTAATTGTAATTTTTTATTATTTCTCATTTAATACTTACTTTATTTTGCTATCACATGAGAGCATGGATACTTCAGAGCTTGAAAAAACCCGCAGTCGCACGCTCTGTCCCTTAGATTTACTCTTAACGACACAACTTCAATCCCTTAAAGAGGTCGGGGCAACTCTGTGACACGAAACATTTCATGCCTTCTAGAGAAACTTGTTACAGACATTCCATTTGATGCATCAATTTTTTTTTCTGTAGATCTGCAACTAATCTAGGGTAATAGACATGACCGCCTTGCATCCAGGTTTGAGCTTGTCCCCCGAGCTTCGCAAAAAGCGCCCCCAAACGAAAATATATAGTTTTTACCAAAGCCGCTACAGGTAAGTGACATGCACCCTTTAAGGTTGAATTGATTGCCTCAGCCAAGTTGGTCGTCATGTGTCCATATCGATATCCACCATCATATGCGTTCGTCCACATTTCTTTATCGATAAGGCTGATGTAATCGTATCCTTCCTCGCCCGTAAATCTTGAAGCATTGATTCAAACGTTCGAGGAAGTAGTTCGTAACCTGATCAAAAAATATATAACTTACTAACTTGCTTTCTTTGCAAAATTAAAATGATCAAAAAATGTATAACTTACTAACTTGCTTTCACTTACCCATACTGCGATTGTATAGCTGAAATCAACACTGCAACAGCTATATGAGAGCTTGCTTTTACCATGGGCATGATGGCTTGACATATCACTTCAGAGTCCAAGTTCGGATGATCTTGGTTGACCCCTCCAGCACAACATGTGTGAGGACCGTTGTATATTGTTAGTTCCCATATGTTGTCTTTCCTCTTCATTTTCGATACGCGAACCATCCAATTGCATTCGTTTTCACGTCGGGCACAGTAGCATACATATTTTTCGGTCGTCGATCGGTTGACTCTGGACTGAACAGAATTTCAGATATTGTAATTTTTTATGGCCATCATCGCTTCTTCTTTGCTTGAAAACTCCATGCCTAAAGATAACTCACCATTATTTATTGATGAGTAATATCCATAGTCATCGAGATAAGGCATATCCGCAAATTCTGGCCCGTACATTGCACCATAATCAGCTTCATACATGTGTGCAGGAGGGTCAGTTTGTGCCACATTTCCTGGAACTTCATCATCATCGGAGTTGAATTGCGGTGATTCTGGGTGAATTAATAGTCCAGTCTCAGCACCATCCGCACCAGGCTCACGAAGCGGTTCTTCTGGTGGAGATGATGGTTCCTCCATGCTCTCCACATTTAGGTCGAAGAACCTACTACTTGCACGCCTTCCCCTTGAACTGAAAGGCATATCGACATTGAGATCGAAAAAGCTCGCAGTCGAATGCCTCCCCCTAGAGCTTGAAGCCATCGTGTCAAATGGAAACTGCACAGATGGTTACGTCGATGGCATCTCCATATGGTCAAAGAAATTTGCAGATGAATGCCTTCCCCTTGAACTGGACGCGGTGTTGCCATACGGATTGTTCGTGTACCCAACTCGGTACATATCGTAAGGAGTTGCGGATGAATGTCTCCCCATTATGGCATTAAAATCATTACACATTATTGTAGTCGGGCTGTCAATTTTATCAACTTGTTCAGCCAGCCTATAGTGTGAGCTTAAAGATTGACCCCGAACAGCACGCACTTGAACAAAATGTGCATACATCTCAATAGCGGCGTCTGAATAATTACTTTGAGCTTCAACCATCATTTGAACATCATCATTGTTCGAAAGTTCGAACGCTGTATAAGTTAATGGCAACAATGATGTTGGAAATCTGTACTGCAACGACGACATTCTTCTGTTACTTCCAACATGAATCTTCCTCGAAATCTTTGTTATTAGCTCCTCAAGAGTTATGTTTCTCTTGAATAATATTTTAACATGCTCATTTGATACGAAAACAATGCCGGTTTCATTTTCTCGAATTTCACCATCATAATAAACAATAGCTGAAAGTCGCGCCATTCTTTAAGTTTAAAAGTGCGGCAATATTATATCTGCAAAAAAAATAACTTAAACAAACCTGATTAAATAAATTATATATGAACAAAAATATAACACAATAAATTTTTTACACATCAACGTAAATAATTTAAATAATATAATTTTATATTATTACCTGCACCACAAAACTATTTCGACATATGCTCCCGCTTTTCAATTTTACAAACATAAAAATTAATTGAAAATAATTAATATAATATTTTTTTCAAATAATGATAATAAACAATAAGTATAATTAAAAAATTATAACAAAATTACCTTATAACGAAAAATCGCACGAACTTCTAAATCAAATTTGAGAAGATTACGAGAATTATTACTCGCTGACGGAATTGTTGTATTAATTTATAAGAGAGGAGAGATGCGAGGAGTTGTGAGCCGGAGGAGTGTATTTATAAGCATATAAGGCGCGGTACCTGCACCGCGCTATATGTAATTATTCAGAAAAAAGATATAGCGCGGATCAGGGACCGCGTTAAATATAATTTTGGTACGACGTATAGCGCGGCCCCTGATCCGCGCTATACCCCTACGTGGCGTATAGCGCGGATCAGGGGACGCGCTATACCCACGTGACGCCAGATCACTGTATATCGCGGGGCAGGGGGCGCACTATACCCACGTGGCGCCAAATCAACATATAGCTCGACGCAAGGGGCACGCTTTCCTGCTAAGGGTGTTAGATCGAGAAATATAATCTGACCGGTGTTAGATCGGTAATAATACCGATCACCGGTGATATACCAGGAAAATAGCCGTTTTCATAGCACCACGGGCTTATGCTATACGTCATGCATGATGATCTAACGGGAGACGACGTTCTACTTGTCATCAGTCGATCTCTTTCTCACATACCGCACCACCGTGTCAATGAACAACAAAGCAAGTCCTACAACTCCACCTCTATAGGCGTAAACGAAGTCAATACTTTCATAAAACAGATAAATAAGTTGTAAAACATATTTTAAGTAATCGTATTTATCGATAATCTTATTGAATTACGATATAATTTCATTTTTCGTATCAGACCCATCCACAATCCTAGCAAGTGGCAACCTCAAGTTTACATAACGAGGATGTTTCCTGCCTTGTAAATTTCGACTGTTTATGAATGAATTCACCGTTGACATGCAGACATTGTTTAAAATCCTCGACTTCTTGGAAAGTTGCTTGGTCAAATATATACTAATAAACACAAATGCTCCAGTTCTACACATACCATAAGTAGAAAACAAGATTAATAGGGGTCGGGATGGTATGGGTAGAATATTTTTCACTCTAAAACTCGACCTAATCCGATGTCATCCTTTGGAAAAAAAAAATTACCCAACCCAAATCCATTTTTTTAAATGACCTTATAAAATTAAGTTGAAACCCATTGGATTCAGTCAATTATTAATTATTAAATAATAATTGATATTTTTTTCTTTAAAAAAAGCATCGGTTGCAACAAAAATTCATGCAAATTGTACAAGAGATAGAAGGTGCTCTTACATCATAGCGCCATTTACAGGACATATTAATGTCAGATCAGCTCTATCAATATAATGGTTATATATAGATTATACATCAGTGGTCCTTTATGGCACCTTACCATATGTTAAAAAGTTAAAACATGATCTTCCTGCCACCTTCATGGCAGAGATTTTTAAAATTAAACACCTATGATCTGCCCACTCGGGCTGAATTGCATCTTCATTGAGTAGCCCAAGCAAAGTCCAACAGGTGAAGAAGTTATGCTATCAATTTGTTATTCTATATGAATCTTGAAACCTTTTTTATCTATTAAACGACACGGCTTGACTGGGAACTGCCACATTTCCAAGATCACCATTCAAGCTAATCTGTTGTACTTCTGCCGATGACAGTATCTTTATGCTCTGAACACAGCTTACAAATTCTCTGCAAGGAGAAATAAGGATTAATAGAAACCAAAAGTAAAGGTTAAAAAGAGTTCCGATTGGGATTATTTACTTACTCCCAAGGATCATCACCAACTAGTAATATGTCGTTTTCATGATCCACATAAACTAATTTCCAGTCAGAACTTTGTGGATCTTCCAGCTGCCCCTCGATTCCAAACACGCGAGCTAGATCGTGCCTGAGTTCATCGTATCCTTTGTAATGGGTCACATCAATTGATCTTCCAACCGAGCCACGCTTTTGCACCTTCATTATTTTGAATCAGCGCCATAGATTTAGACACGATGAAAGTTGTAGATTTAGACTACAAGACGCATAATAATACGGGAGGAGAAATTTGACAGAGGAATAGAACAAAAAGAATAAATGAGGAAACAAGCATAACCATAATCAACAGGGGCTATGCTATATACCTTTGTATATGTTCGCATGCGTTGAGTTTGGTTGGCACACAATCCGCCATTTAGAACTCCTGTGTCATTGATGGCAACATCATTAGAGCACCCGGTCTTGAAAGGTGTGTTCAGCACACCAAACGACTGAGAGCTTATTGCAGGAGTAGACAAGTCTGCATCAATATCTCTCGAGTTGCCACCATAACTAGAAAGTAGGTTTTGAAGATCCTTTTGAGAGTCATATCCCCTTGATAATAAAGTGTCAGGTGCCAATCCATCAATATTAGCTATAAAAGGAAGATTGTTCCGAGGATGTGACTGAACATCACCTTCTAGAAAGATAGGGAGGGAGAAATTATGCTGGGCAGTGCCTGCATCTAGGCAGTATGATGTTCCAGAAGAGGATGCTTCTAATTGATCTGTCACGGTACTTTTGTACTTTGACAGTTCTGATCCTCTAGAGGTGGGTAGTTCATGTTTGATTCTTATATCAGGCTTGCTCTGAAGCTCTTGAACCGGGGTACTTTCCAGCTCGACAAGTGGATCCGTCACCAACATGGATGGTACTTGCTGGTTTTTGTTTAGAAAGTTAAATTGGGAAACCTGACAATTATTTGTCGAAGGTGAGGTTGAACATGATGGTGCATCGCCATCAGTAAGACCAGAATGGGTTCTCATAGCAGTATGAGGCTTGTTATGAACTTGAGGCATTGATGTTGAGAAGCCATTGCTGCCAAGGGGTTGTGATGGGCTCTGTGACAGTGGCAATTGCTGCAATGATTGGTTTTGATGATGGGTTGACTGTTGCTGCTCCATTGGTGGCTGCAGCAGTGATACAGCTGGGGAGAGAAACCGTTGAGATGACTGCTGCTGTTGCTGTTGCTGCTGCTGCAATTTCTGTAACAGTTGTAATTGAAGCTGCTGCTCCAAGAAGCCCTGCTGAGACAATTGCGGCATCTGTGGCTGCTGCTGTGTCCTCGGGGACAAGCTTTGTTGCAACAATTGTAGTGGTGACTGCTGCAACTGTTGTTGTCTCTGAATGAGGTTAGTTTGCTGATCCATCTGTTGCTGAATCTGTGTATCTTGCGGTAATGACATCAAAGGATATGAGGTTTTAGTGGAAGAGTGGATAGTTTGGACAGACTGGCTATTACTCATCAGCAATTGTTGCTGCTGAAGCTGCGAGCAAACAGCTGGCTGATGCAAATTTTGATCTGGGATCTGGTTAGTGGAAATGATTCCATTATTTACTTGAGATGGGAGGAATGCCTGCTGTTGCAACTGCTGCGGTGGTTGCGTCTGTTGTTTTTTTTGTTGTTGCTGTAGCTCCTGCTGCTGGGGAGGTGTCTGTGATTGTGATTGTGGCAGCGGCTGTGGCTGAGTCTGAGGCTCAAGCTGCTGCTGTGGTTGTTGTGGCTGTTGTCGCTGCAATTGCTGTAGGGATTGCTGCTGCTGCTGTTGATTTAAAGGAGTCTGCAATAACTGCTGAAGTTGCTGCTGTTGGGCCCATGCCATAGTCATTTGAGGCAATGGGTTGACTTGGTTTGTATTTGCTTTGTTAAATTGCATAATTGACGCAGGTAACCCGGGAGCTTGGAAATTCAATAATTTGGCAGGATCATCGGTGCCAACGCTATTATGGAGCGGATTTGAAGAAAACATTGATGGAAAGAATCCTGATTGAGCAACTGGAAACTGATTATTCTGTTGCATGCTCATCCACTGAACTAAACTCAAACCAGGGAAGATTGAACTAGGAGCATCTTTCGTACCAAAGTCATCTCCGAGCCAGGGCATAGCTCTCCTGAAGGCTTTCTCCATATCAGACTCGTCATCTGCAAAACCTCTTAAAAGGTTAAAAACTAAGTTCTTGAATTTTTCCTATTACTTGTCAATGTTTAAAGTGAGATATGTATGGCAAATATAATTTACCTGGCGTCCCTGATTGCTTGGGAAACCGGGGCATGAAAAATGGAGGTGGACAAATGTAGAAAGGAGTTATGACGGGCTCAATGTCCCAAATTGAAACTCGGCTTGGCCGCTCACCAGCTGTAGATTCATCCCATCCAACCTGTTGAGAATAAAAAAGTAGCCCCAAAAAAATAATAATAAGTGGTATTTCCTCCCTGTGCAACAACACTTTGACTTCTATAAGCCCCAATAGGTAGCAAGTTCACATGATAAAGTGATGTATTATGAATGACACAACCATGATGTAACTTAATATCTGCATGTTAATAATGCCTAAACATCTTCTGACATAAAAATGCAAAATAAAACAGAGGCTAATATTGGCATTAAGGTTGTCAGTAAAAATACCTGAAGATTACGCCACTGTGAATTTTTCCATCTCACAGGATCCAAGTCGCTGATACCAGTAATGGTACCCATGTACTTGCGTACTCCAGACTCCTCGGTTTCAAACATCATTCTAAACCGCATGCCAAGGGAAGCTTGGGTATACATAACTTTGTTACACTTCGCTAAGGGTATCACAAACTCGGAAGGGCTTGCCCTGTCAAAATTAATAAAATCATTTCAGACCTTCAATTAATATCCTTTTTTGATGATTAGAAATATAACAATGAATCTATATACTACCAAATGCAGCATACCAATACCTTGGATTATAGAATATAGTAAACGAGCTGTTATTTGCCGCAGCATGAGCTGCAGCAGCAAGGATCCCAATATGCATGCTATCACTAGAAATTACTGATGAAGAAAGAGCTGGCTGCTGTCTATTTGCACGCCTTGTACCCAAGAGAAGTTGAGACTTCTCATCTCTACATTTAAGCAAAGAATTTCAGTTGAGATGCAAAATGAATAATCTATTGAAATTCCGTGGAATGCATACAAACATATAAAGTCTGTGCATGTGTGTGTGTTGTAGGTATGTATGTATATGAATCACACCTTATGAAAAGGACGGAATCACCAGCGAAGAGTCGTTTCGTGCTAACAAAGACACTCCAACCAGTAGTCAAAAGGTGCCTCTTTGGTTGACCTGCAAAGAAGCAATTATGCATTTAGATATGTTATTCAAATGCTTATAAACATTAAATAAGTAAACTACCTTAATATGCAGAATAAATTGCTATGAATGATTAGTATCACCCTAAAGCATTACTAATGAAGATTAAGTCAAATTTAAGTGAACTATGAAACTGTCTAATCTTTACCATCAATGTTCAAGGAAAAAAGGAAAATGGCCATTCTTAACTTGACTACTTCCCAAAAGAAAATGAATTTCTTCTACACCAAAATGTTCCAAGTAGCATGGAAGTTAATAAGAAACACTAATGACAAGAAAGTATTGATTACTTAGCAGTATCTTGAAGAGACCTATACCTCGATAAATATGTCTAAATGTCCATGTATTGTCATGTAAATCTTTAGCTACCAGCTCCTGTGCAGGAGGTTGCATCGAGAAATCCTATCAAATATCATCATTTAGATTTTAGCGAAAACAGACACAAAATGCTTCCATCAGACCTCATAAATCCTAAAATACGAATCTAAAATTGAAAGTTTGTAAGCACCAGAGGAGGGAAGATCTTCTCAGCTGCTCGGCGAGGCACAGAAAATCCACCATGAGTGCTTGTGTCACTCGCTGTAAGTGTCTTGCAAAAGAGCTCAGCAGGCTGACGGCTTTGCTTGAGGGCCATATCAGATGCCAGTAATGCTTCCTTGTCATACTATACAAGAATTATTTTAAAGATTCATCCCATATTTCACAACATGTGAAAATTGAACCCCAAAACAAAAGGAGGCAATTCTGTAATATCCATGAATTAATTCTCAAATTGAATAGCTGACCTACTTTGTTCACAGGTTGAAGAGTCATCTGGGCATACACCTCATCTGTTTCTGGATCAGCCTGATTCAAAGTTTAAATAATCGAATTAATTATCAACTTCATATATTAATCATACAACTCCCATCATTTTGATCATTACAAAGTTATCGTTATCCAATAACCGTGCAGGATCCTACACGTATTGTAATATGACTCGGCACCCAACAATAGCTTCCTAGAAGTAGCCAATACAATCACAAACTAACCAGATAGCACATGGATGCGCCAAGTACCTATGCCAAAAAATGACTTGGCAGTTAAATAGAAAGAAAGTCTAAAATATGAAAGAGATATGGTCAATCCAAAGTTGCTGATACATGCACAAAACTCATTTAGGCAAAACCCCTTTCCCTTTCAATGACCCAATTTACAAGAAACTTGGGATAACGGTGCTGCGGTTTTGCTTACATGCAATGTTACATTATGGAGCACGCAAATCAACTTGGAAGGAAGGTTAGGGTAGCTTGGTATGAAATCAGTCTGCTTTTGCATTGATGCTGCAACCTGGGAAAATATATATCATAATTAGAGAAAATTCCATTAAAGGCAAGATTCAGCGAAATAAAAAACATTCAACGGGGATGAATGAGGAAAACAGCTCACTTGCTCGCTGTGACCTTGCGGAAAGTAAAAAACCAAACTTCCAACTGGAGGCAAAGAAGCAAGTGGTCCAGCACAAGCATGCCATAATTCTGAATTGATATTCTTCCGTTCTGTTGCTTTCAAAAACCGACTAGAATTTTAATCAAACATCCCAAGAATCAAATACAACGAGAAAGTCATAAAAATTATTAAAAAGCATCCAGTTGAAGAAAAAAAAAATTCCCAATATCCAGAAACTCCCCAATTGCCTGGTATCCACAATTAAAAGTTACCATGAATATTCCTATGTAACACTTTATATTTGAACTTGACACACGCGCACATGTATGTATGTATGTATGAATGAATGTATTGGTGCATCCTTCGGTTCTTTTTCACCTTCAATTTGCAAATAACGATTGATCCTAAAACTTCCCCCATTAAAATGAGTAAAGTTGATACTCAGCACAACCTAAACTTGCTTGTTTCCATTTGTATCAAAATGAGATTTCATAGGATTTCTCAAAAAAGATATGACATTTTACATTGACAAACGTAGAACATTGAAACAAAACTAATACCAAGTAATAATTTATTAAAACCAAAAACAACTCAGAGGGAGGGATCTGCTTAACAGAGGAAGACAACCACTCAACCAGACATACAAGGAAAAGCCAAAGACCATTTTGACTAAAAAAAATGAAACTAAGTTAAAGGAAGAAAAAGTGAATGAATTAAAGAGAAATCAGACCTTCTGCAGAATTTGCCATAAATCCACTTGGCGGAACCTTCATGCTTACAGTCCAGGGTCAATTTGAAAAAGAAAAAAGAAAGAAATTTTCTCAAGGAATCCAATCACTTGTTTTGCTCCAACAAAACACATAAAAGAGATCAACTTTTTTTTCACCATATAGTCACTTCAAACTCTTTTAGCTAATGAAACCACAACGCTTCAAAAAGAAACATCCATTCTTGCAGCAGCAACCCTTTGTAGGAAAATCAGTACAGACGCGCTTAAGGAAACGCCGCAGCTTCCATTAACATTCAAATCCCAGAAGAATCAGAAACCCCAACTTAGACGGCAGACCAAAACCTTGTTATTTTCCCGAACAAAGCTTTCTCTTTGATTAGCTTCGTGAAAAGCTTTGATAGTACTTCAAACGAATAACAAATCAGATTCCACAGTTGAATCAGTTAAAAAAAACTAACTGCATGGAACACTAACGACCGGTTTCTAAAACTGCTCCTCGGCTAACTTGAAGTTCATCATTTTTGGTATTAAAAAAATACAAAGAGAAAAAAGAAAGTAACTTTATGGGATCAGGGAGAAAGGAACACGCTTGTCGACGGGAAATCAGAGAGCCGAAAGCCAGAGCAAAAGAAACAGCTTTCTTTTTTTATTTTTCCTTCAGCTTATAATTTGTGAAACATGCCGACTTATAATAGACCGTGAAGTTTGAACAATGAAGCAATCAGACCATGGTCAATTCAACGAAAGAAAAGAAAAGAAAAGTTACTTCTTTTAATTAAATTTTAATCGTTGCGCGTGGTGTAGGCTGTTAAGAGGAAGACAATTTATATTGGTAGATCATTTTCGGTTTTCACCGTTCAGGAGATGCAGGGTCGCGCGTGCAGCGTCGTGTGCGTGCGTATGGCTTTGTCTCCTTGGACTTGGAGTAAAAATATTCTATAAACTAGTATCTGGTACTTTAAATTAATATTTTTTTTAATTTAGTCCTTATATCTTTTACACTTTATTTTAAGAATTTGGGTCTTTTGTTATTGTTATAACAAAACAGATTTAGAACAATTATCAAGTTTAAATATTTATATGGATTAAAGAAATTTAAGAATTAAATTACTAAAAATAAATATTTAGGTAGTTTTTATTATACTACGATAAATATAATGTAATGGTAACTGTTTAAAGATTATCAATCATTTGACACGAAACATTCATATTCATGCATACGTGATGTTTAAACTCGAGACTTCAAAACCAATGGATAATAATAATCTCTCAACAATTGAGGTCGATTGGTTCGTACACTATATGAACTAAATATACTTTATCTATTAAATAAATTAATTATTTGATCACTTTATAGGATTAAAAATAGTTATAAAATGTTGTTAAGAATATCCTATGTAATAATAGTACTCCATCCATCCTCCTTCCCAAAACACTTTTCATTATTATTTTTAAAGTTTTCCATAGGCTTGATGCCTCTCTCTCCAGCTTACCACTGTTGTACGCCGTAGATTGGGCTGTTAGGGTCCACCATCTGAAAAAATCATTTCCATGATTTTTCCTTTTTTGGATCATAATCATCATGATCTCCTCATGACCAAAAATCACAAAATAAATATTTGGTTAATTTATTAAAATGAAGTACTATTTTTTAATTAGTTAAATAAATAATATTAAAATTATTAATTATAGAAATTACATTTATTTTTAACACATAGTACCACGTGAGATATCAATATATATGTTTTTTTTATTGGATTACACGAAAAGATGCATATCGTAGTATATATTTTTCATAAAATCATTCGAGATGAGAATAGGAATGGCAACGGGTCGGGTTTGGGGCGGGTTTTGCTCGTCCCGTCCCTGACCCGATCCCATACGGATTTTTTATCGGGGCGTCCCGTCGGGGATTTTTTTTATCCGGTCTCCGAATCCGACCTGAAATATTATACCCAAACCCGAAAATATTATATATATAATTAATATAAAATATTATATATATATATATATATATATAATCCGGGCGGGAATATCTTACCCCGAACCTGGCCCGAAAAAATACCAAAAAAAATGTTCGATACTCGACCCGACCCAACCCCAATTTAACCAAATTTCAAATTTTTCCGTCACATTCGAGTCATATTGACATCTCTATATGAGAAAAGCGTGATGGACCAAATGCATTTTCAAATTAAAAGTAAGGAATTCTAAGAAAGGCGCTTCTGCAAAACCAAAAAAAATATCACTAAATCATGTTAAGTAAATATTTTTTATTATTGAAGTTTTAAAAGCTACATACCATTATAAAATAATCATTATATGATAAAAATAGTAATATTTTTAAATAACTATTGAAAATTAAATACGTCAACTGTTTTTTAGTTAGGTATAACGATAAAATTAGTTTTTAATCAGGGCAAGTGTCTTGTTCGTTGAACATGACAGAAATAATAAATCTTTACTTAGAAGAGAGTTGCCAGTGCGACAAGTGGATTTTAAGTCCTTCATTAATTATATCAATTACGTAGCTTATTTTGACGTTAAAGTTGTAAATAAATTATAAAATTACCAATTTTACAGAGAATTTGAATAATTTAAGAGTAAGTTATAAATTTCATAATTCAACTTTATTTCCACTCTTATTTTAATCATTGAAGTTTAAATTCTTTTAATTTATTCATTAGATTTTCAATTTTTTCCAATTTTAATCACTCTAGTATTAAACTTGTTGATATGGGCTTTATTGATATGGAATTCATTTGTAATCCATGTCATTTTTTTTAATTTTATTTTCTTCCTCCAAAGATAAAAGTTCTATAGTTTCGTCTCAATGCTAATCCGGCACTGCAATTACCATTCTTCAACGTCTTCTTTGACCACTCAATATATCGACCAACTCGTCTCATTTTCTCCTACCACTATATCAGTTTAGATTTTATCTAAATCATTTTAAAACTCATAAACTCATCCTTAAATAAAAAACTCATGAAACCATAAACTATTGTGATATATAATATCCACCATTTGGTTAATATGAAATCAATATATACAACTTGCTTCCTCCTCCACTTCTCTACCATAGAGATTTGAAAGAAGATGTTTCATCATCAAAAATCAAAAGAAATTTGAAAATATCAAAAATTTCCATAAAAACGAAAAAAATTATGATAATTTCATATTATTTTAAAAAATGCTCAATCATAATATTATTAAGTATTTAACGGTGTAATAGCTAAAACAAAAAAATCCAGAGAAAGAAAAAGAAAACCATTTTTTGTTTAATTATTATTAAACTATAAAACATTGATATAATATAGTAGTAATATTTGGAGTTAAAAAAAAGGGCTAAGAAAATGATGTTTCTATGTATAACACTGGGAAGGGCCCACTAGCCGCAAAAGCAGGAGATCTTCACATGTCACAAAGTTTGCTTTATTGATTCCTCCTTCGGGCATCTATCATTATACATCAATTAAAGCTAAAACTTTTACATAGTTAATTGTTGTTTTAAGCAAAATAAGGCTAATGTAAAATTAATAGTCTACATTATACATAAAACTAATTCTACGCGTTCAAAAAAAAAATCAGTTAAAATATATGTCTAATATTTTTCTCATTATACTTTTAGGTGTTCGAAATATACAAATCATTAAAAAAAAATACTATTAGTTTACATGTGTCACACATATAAAATTTTATTAGAAAAATTGAAAATTAAAATTTATTTTTAAAAACTCAATATTTTATGAAATTATCATAAAAAATTAAAATCTCGAAAAATCTTAATTTCAATATCTTACCACCGTTGGTTGCCACCAACATCATCAATCGACCGAAAGCCCAAAAACATGTGACTGCATGAACCCCCACCGACCGAACCCTCATTCTTCATACGTGATTGCAACATAAAATTGATGATCACATCGTGAAAAAACCCTTCCAACCGATCGTAAAATCTTATATTTATACGGCTATTGGGTATTCGGCCAATCACGAAAATAAAGAGTTTTAGTTGTTGGGTGATTGTCCGAGAAAACAATGTTGGATATTCAGCCGATCGATAGTGTTGGTGATCGTCAGTTGTGCTAAAAGACTAAAATTAATGTTTTAACATATTTTGAGTTCTTTTGGTATTTTTATAATTTTCTTTTGTTTTTTAAATACATTATAATTGATTTTTTAAAATAATATTTTTTATAAACATGATACATGTCACTTAACTACTGGATTTGATGGTCGTTACAGACTTACGGTCTATACACCTAAAAGTGTAACTTTCAAAACATTAGACACTTATTTTGAGCAAAAAATTATTTAAACACCTAAAATTAACTTTGGATATAACATGGACATTTATTTTTATATTAAATCACAAAATAATAATAATAATAATAATAATAATAATAATAATAATAATAATAATAATTTATGAACATTTTGATAATATTCAAAGAAGTAATTGAAGTGCTCTTACAGTTAATCTAGACAAGTGAAGATCCTGATTTTGAGCATCCACAGTGTAGGATCCTGTCTTTTCGTATAATTTTTTAATTAAATAATTTTTATAGAAATAACAGGATTAATTAAAAACATAAAATATTCAAAATTATAATATACGCGTAAAATAAACATTTAATTAAGATTTTTTTCATAATTATTGACACAAAAATTAATCACTTAAAATTACACAATGATCATATAAGAAAAAAATTTAAAAACAAATATGAATAGATATAACCGCATTTAGGGATGGCAACTCAACCCGAATCCGACGGGTTCCGACCCGACCCGACCCGATCAGGTCGGATTTTTTTTAAAAAAATTTGGGTTCGGGTCGGGCCAGTCCGAGTTTTTTTTAAATGCACTGTTCGGGTCGGGTCGGGTCGGGTTTAGGGTAAAAAAATCCGACCCGACCCGACCCAAAAAATATATATAATTTCATCTTATATATTTAGGGATAATTACAATAATATCCCTCCATATATATTTTTTTTCAATTAAGTCACTGTTTTCATTGAATTAATTTTTTTTTATTTCGGGTCGGGTTTCTAAGTCATATATTCGGGTCGGGTCGGGTGAAAAATTAATTTTGTCGGGTCGGGTCGGGTCACGGGTGGAGAACCCTTTCTTCTCGGGTCGGGTCGGGTGGCCCAAAAACCCGACCCGACCCATTGCCATCCCTAACCGCATTTGTATACAAATCATAAATGAGAAAGAAGCTATTGAAAGAGCATCGATAAAGTGCAAATCACACTCGAGCAACATGAGAAAACAATTCACAAACATAAGTTGTGTATCAAAATTTAATTTAAGGATCCAAAACAATAAAGATCAACATGATAACAAATAAACATCATATTCTCAGTCGTTGAGATGATAAATCCAACTTCAAGAACAATGATAAACAAAATCATACCAAGGCAAAGGAATCATATTACAAAAACAGGAAAAAACGTGTCATAAAGGTACAATTATTAAAAACTAAAGAAAGTAAAAGAAAAAAAAATTTGATATAAAAAAATAAAAAAGTACTGGCGACGACGACCAAAATTAAGATTAGTATTGCCACTAGTCAACCAATAATGAAAAAAAAGAAGATAAACATCTGTTTTTTAAAAAAAAACTAAACTTTTTAAATTAAATTATAATTATAAATAAAAAATTAAAGTAAACAAAATTTATTTTTAATTATATAGGTTAGTTACATATGACATTTCTAAACTATTATTTAGATTCTAGTTTGGTTATTAAAATGAGAATCTTCCATTATTGCATCTGTAAATTTAGGTCATTAAATTTTGGTCACTATACTAGTATTTAATTTACCTTGTATGTATTATATATGAAAGAATTGATTTCCAAAAAGAATAACGATGACCCTTCTCAAAAAATTTACTATTTCCCTAATTATTAAATAGATCTTTAAATTAATAATATAAAGTTTGATATTTAAATTGTTTTAGGTATAATTATATGATTTTTGATTTATTAATCGACTAATTCGGATCAGGTATTGCAGAGGTAAAGATAATCCTTCCAATCTAATTTGTTCCATTCATAAATGCTAGGAACCTCTCACATTGCCTTAAAGGATCTAGTACCTCATCCCATTAAACCAACTAATTATTAGTAAAGTTTGATATTTATAACAGGATGTGTTATATTTTAGCTCAATCATTATTATTATTTTCATATTTTCCTATTCAAATATATCATAAAATATAACATAGTAAGGATAGATATGCTTTAGGATGGCCGAGTTTTGACTAATTCAAACTCGATTGAATATTATACCTTTTCACTTATCATTTAATCCGATTATAATTTGGGAAGATTTCGTAATACCTGAAATATTATTTATTTTATGAGATAAAAAGTTACATCCAACTAGACACAAATTATATATATATATATATATATATTACTTTTATTTAATAAAATAGAGGCATGACTAAAAAATATGTAGACAATTAAATATTATTATAGTTACCCCTAAATATATAAAAAATATTCATATTATTATTTTAGTTCGATCAAATATTATTTTACCAAAAATTCAAACATGATTGATCTTATTCTTCAAAAATTTTAATCTAAATTTAATTTTTTTTATTTTAAAATTTAACCTATAAAATTGAACTAAATTAAAACCAAAATCTGTTAAATCTAAATTTCATACTCGTCCATAATCATGACCCACTAACTTTTAGCTTGATATATATATAGTTCGTATATAAAAGAAAGCAGCTTCTTAGCTTTAAATGAAAACAGCTAAACCAAACGATATTCTCCTCAGTAAAATAAAATAAAGAAATAAAAGACTCGGGCTTATGTACCAAGTCAAGTAGAGCATCGGAATCATTCTCTTTATTTAGGGTTTTAAAATTTAAATTTTGTTTGATTTAGCTTAAAATATTAATAGCACCACCCATCGGGGAAAGAAATAAACTAAAAGGAAAAAGAAAAGTAAGATTTGTGATGAACACAAGAATGGAGCAAAAATATGATATAATTAAAATTTTAAAATTTGACACTCTTATATAATTCATCTTTCTTTGACATCGTTTACTTAGTATTACTATAACACTTATAACTCATTCATTTAGGCTTCCGAGTGAAAGGAGACGATATTTCAAGTATTTTTGGTTCATTTTTTTCATTTCCCACCAAGTAGAAAGAATTTACGGTAAAATTGATATTTCTAGATCTCTTTAGATTATACCATGATAATTACAAATAATATATAAATGTATGACTTGTAATAAGAACATGGATAGCCAAGGCAGGCAAGCAACCGCGGGGCACCAAGGAAAACACGCCCAAGCCATGTGAATTTGTTCGGCCTTTGTCGGGCCAACCACCTCCAACTCCGACCAAACTGTGGGGTTCTCTTGTGTTTCAAATTTCTCTTTCGTTTTCCCCTGTGCCAAACCAAATCAATATCCCTTTACGACTGGCTATGGATTCTCCGGTTGGCCACTGCACCTTTCTCTCCTTGTACGGAAGCCACGTACCGTTTATCTTTTATCGTCACAAAGCACAGCTATGCTGCCGTAATTGTAGTTATTATCACAGCTAGCTGTTGGCTAAGCTACAACAGTGGAATGAAACTAAATCCTGTTTCGTTTGACCTTTTATTGGGTAGAATTTAGGGTTTTAAAGTGATGACGTTGAGGGACTTATCACGATGCAACAGGTGTCTTCCATGTTAAGTGATTTATAATTGGAGAAAGCATCGATTCGGCAGATAAAAAGGAAGACAAGACATGACTAACGCCTCGGTCATGCGGGGTTTTCTTGTCAATCTTATTGCAGTTACGGATGGTGCGATGTGTGTGAATCGTGTTGCCATTTTCGGACAATAGATCGTTTTGTTTCCTATTATTAAAAAATGTAAGCCTATAGACGAATGCAAGTGGAAATAAAGTTTCAGCCATTTCCGAGTGATCACTGGATGGGAATCTTTTGATGATGGATTACAAGTTTTTCTTGTTTTGTTAATGACTATTCATAGGAGATCATTACGCATGAATGTTAGGTTTTACTAACTATGATACCATGGTTCCATGCCCATATGAGGTTAGTTTGATGACAAATAAAGCAAGAACCAAACCGAAAATGATATCATGAAAATCTGAACCATAAATCCAAATGATCTTGTTGATGGTATAATTTATGTTGTGACGATTATAGATGATTTTTTTTGGATAAATAGATTTTATTTCCCAAGTGAAAAAGAAAGAGTTTAATGTACAACAATCATCCCGATAGGGAGTAAAAACACATAATTACAGACAAAAGGATTAGTCAATACCCCAATAATTACAAAGTCTAGAATTAACATAATTCAGTCTATTAATATCATTGTCAGTAAGTTTTAGACGAACTTGCTCCTTTATAGACGTGAGGAGTTGATCTGCTGTTCTTGATCCTCTATTAAAAATTCTTCTGTTTCTTTCCTCCCAATGAAGTAAATAAATACAGTCCAGGCGATCCTCAGTATGGTGGAAAGAAGAGATTTATGTTTCCAAGCTTGAGCAGCCCATTCAATCCTTGAATCCCAAGACCTGTGAATATCTCGCATGCTAGACAGATTCATAATAGAATTCCAAAGAGAAGTAGCATAAGTACATTCAACAAACAAATGATTTCTGGATTCATTGTCCTCATTACACAATATACAAAGACTATCAGAAACAATTCCCATTCTAATAAGTCTATCTCGAGTAGGAAGACGATCTAGAATGACCATCCAAGAGATACTGCTAAGTTTAGGGGTGTGAAGAGGAAACCAAATTACTTTATGCCAGGAAACTTTGTCTCTATGAAATCTGATATCTTCCCATATTTCTTTAGTATTCGTGACACCAACAGTTAAATTAGGAAGGACTTCAGTACTCATTTTCACAAGTTTTCTGATAGTCCAACTGTAGGAAGAGTTAACGTTGATATCACTTATGTTGCTACTTTTAATAATATAGCATTGTATCCATGCGACCTATAAAGACCCCTCTCCAGCCAGAATTTTTCAAATGAGTTGAATCATACAGGCTTTATTCCAGGATTGGATGTTCTTCAACCCAAGACCTCCTTCAGCTTTGGTACAACAAAGCCTATCCCAGCTAATCCTAGCTCGTGTAGCAGTTGTATCATTTCCTTTCCAAAGGAAACGAGAGCAAAGCTGCTCAAGCCGATTGATAACTTTCTGATGGAGGATAAATTGTCTACTCCAGAAGTTAAGTATACTGTAAAGGACAGTTTTAATAAGCTTAAGATGCCCAGTAAAGCTAAGAAGTTTTACAGACCAATGATGAAGCCTTTTTTTGATATTGTCAATGAGAGGAAGACAATCTTTTTCAGTAAGTTTTCGAGTGACAAGAGGGACTCCTAGGTACCTAACGGGTAAAAAACCTTGTTTTAAGCTAGTAGCAGATTTAATGGAGTATAAAGTTCGAGCAGAAATACCAACAACATAAAACTCAGTTTTGCTAACATTGAGGTTCAGACCAGAAATAACATAGAAATGGTTAAGGACACTAGTAACACCAACAATAGATTCAAGGTTGCCTTTACAAAAGATCAAGCGGTCGTCTACAAAATATAAGTAAGTAATACCAATTTTTTTGCACTTTGGATGGTATCCAAATATGCCTCTGCCTGCAGCAAGATTGAGAATTTTTTAGAGAATGTTCATTGCAATCACAAAAAGGATAGGAGATAGAGGGTCGCCCTGGCGGATGCCTCCCTGGCCTTTGAAGTATCCAATTAGACTACCGTTAAAAGATATGGAATATATAGCTTCTTTAAAGCAAGAATCGATCCATCTAGTGAAAATGGAAGGAAGCCCTATTGCTTTAAGAATGGATGAGATAAACTCCCAATTAAGAGAATCAAAGGCTTTTTGTAAGTCATTTTTTAGAGAACATCTTGGCGAGATATTATTTCTACCATAGCCTTTTACTAATTCTTGAGCAAGAAGGGTGTTGTCTATAATTGATCTACCTCTTACAAAAGTGTTTTTATTGAGGGAAATAAGGCCAGGAAGAAGCGAAGTCAATCTTTTGACAATGATTTTTGTTATAGTTTTGTAAACAACCGAGCAACAAGAGATAGGTTTATAATCCTTAACTTTGCTAGGATTCTGGATTTTTGTAATCAAGGCAATAATGGTGGAATTAAAAGCAGGAAGGATGTTAGACTCTTTAAAGAAGTATTTGACAACATTAATAATGTCTTCCCCTACGAAAGACCATGAATGTTTGAAAAACAGAGGAGTGAAACCATTAGGGCCTGGGGCTTTGTCATTTCCTTGATTAAATAAAGCCTCTTTGATCTCTTCATTAGTAACTGTTTTAATCAGATCACTAGCAACCTCGATAGGCAAATGAAATTGAAGCAAAATTTTCAAGGTAGAAGGGTTAGAATGAGAAACTTTAGGGTATGTAGTACCAAGTTGGTGTTTGAAGAAATCAATAATTTCATTTGTCATATCATCGTAAGTCGTGAGTCTTTTCCCCTCATTATCAATAAGAATTCTTATGGTGTCTCTTTTATTTTTAGAGACAACGGCAGAATGAAAGAGTTTTATACATTTGTCACCTTCTTTGATCCATTGAACTTTAGCTTTTTGTTTAAGGAACATGTATTCAGTATCCTCTAAGTCAACCAGTTCCTTTTGAAGACCCAATTCTTTTTCTAAAGAATTATTGCCATTAAGAGTAGAGATCCGAATTTGTTCCAGTTCTCTCTTTTTAATCCGTACCCCAGCAGAGATATCACTATAGTTATCCTTGTTAAGCTTATGCAAGCAAGGCTTTAAACATTTAAGCTTGAGAAACAATTTATACATAGGGTTTCCTTGAGATGGTTGATGCCATGAATGCAGAACATGTTCAAGGAAATTTGAATGCTTGCACCAGAAATTAAAAAAATTAAAAGGCTTAGGGCTATTGATTTGAATCTCTTTGTTAATCCAAGCAAGAGCCATACAGTGATCTGATGGGCCAGGAGCAATAAATTCAACAAAAGAATTTTGAAAATAGGTAGCCCAATGGGAGTTAATCAACACTCCGTCAAGCTTCCTGGTTAGGTACGTGTCTTTTTATTTATTACTTCAGGTATAAGTATGCCCAAAGAAAAGATGATCATAAAGATAAATTTCTTGAATCAATTCTCGGAAGTATGCCATTTCAGAGGATAAATAAGGTCCAATAATTTGATAATCAGAACTTTCCTTATGTTGAATAAAGATATTAAAGTCACCTCCCAAAATCCAAGGGAGAGACCCAAACCTAGAATCAAGATGACGAATGTGTTGCCAAAGAAGTTTTCTAGAAGAACCATTGTTACTTCCGTAGATAGCAGTGATAATAAAAGGAATGTTATTGAAGAGACATTTAGCAGTAATGCTTTAATCAGTTGAGTGACAGAGGGAAAGGTCAATTCCTTTTTTCCAAAGAAACCATATTCTGCCATTAATAACATACTCATAGTTTGTAAGAATATTCCAGCTCCCTAAGATAGAATTGAAGATATTTTCAGAATTGTCAGGTTTAACACGAGTTTCTAACAGACAGAGAACATCTACTTTGAAAAGATTAGCTCTATTCATAACTTTTTTCTGTTTGTGATGATTGTTGAATCCTCTAATATTCCAAAAACAAATTAACATTGGGAAATGGAGGGTGAAGAACCCTATGAATTTCCTTATGAGTTACTTCTGACTTTTGAAATGTGTTCTTTCTTCTTTAACTTTAGCTCTTTAATTAGTTTAGCAACTCCATCAGCTGCTGGCCTTATTTTCTTTACTGGCAGCTCATTTAAAGAAGAAATTTCCTCAACTGTTGAGAGAATTTCAAATCTGTTTGTTGAGCCTCTTAAAGCAGATTTTATTTTGGTCTTTAAAGGTCTTCCTCTACCTCTTTTAGGAATTGAAGGAGTGTCATTAGGATTAAGGGTAAATCCATTAGGAAGTGTAGAATCAGCATTTTCTAACTCTTCACCGAGAGGATAGTTTTGTGACAATGAATTATTTCTCTCATTTGAAATATTAGAAGGAGGTTTAGGGGGTTCTACAGTATAAGGCTGATCCTTTTGGGAGGAAGAAGATTCTGGTTCTAAGATAGGCTCCAAATTATTAGAAGATGTCATTTCCTTTGAGGAAGAAGAGTTTTCAGTTTTTTCCAGTAGGGGAACCTTCAAGGTTTCAATATTTTCTGTTTGTTGAACAGAGTTTTCAGTGTTAGTATTCTTTACCCTCCAGATTTTGAGTTGTGGTGGAGCAGAATTTGGTTTAATAAAGCATTCTTTATCAGAATGACCAAAAGAGCTACATTTCCTGTATTTAATAGGGTACCAAGGAACATCTACGTAGATTGTTGAAGTTTGACCATTTGCAAGAAGAACTTCAACAGATTCGGGAATGTCTTCCTTAGCTTCTATTTCTATACAGACCTTAGCATATTCTAGCCTAGTTTTCAAAGCAGTAATTGAGTTCATTGTTAATGGAACTCCAAGAGCACTTGCTAAATAACTAAGGTCATCTCTTGAATAGAGCTCTAAGGGGACGTTGTATAAATGAACCCAAATAGGTAATCTGGAAAGGTCAAAGTTCAATCTCTGCAGGTTGGGTTCCCACTTACGAATAATCAGTGGTTTATTGAGTATGTGCCACAGGCCGTTCTCAAGAACCCAATCCCTAGCAACAACGGAATTGAAGGAGAAAATGTAGAGGTTATTACCTGCTATACTTACCTGCACACGAGCACCCTTCGAAGGATTATTCCAGAGCTTGTCGATTGTACGCTGAAGGGAGATAAAATTTGGAGAAGCCCCTAAGAACTGACCCACCAGAGAATTCTTCCATTCAGCAGTACCAGCTTCGAGGACCTCAAGGGGAGGTTGAACGATTAGGGATTTATCGTTCGATTTTTTGGGGGAAAAGTTGAATTCGTGACCAGCTTGGCACCCAAATAGCTTACGCCAATCCATAGCACAATGATTAAAGGAGAAAGAAATGAGAGGCTGTTGAAATCTCACTGAAATCGGACTGAATCGTCGGCGACGAGACGATAAGCTTCGGGTCGTTAGACCTTTTAATGTGCGCCCCAACGGTTAGCTATTATTATTTTTTGATTTAAACATAGAGTTACAATTGGTAGTTTGAAGAAAAATAATGTACCCGAGATGATGATCGTCTTTGACATGGAAGAAAAAGAGTACGTATAAGTCCCTTTTAGTCTATTATAAGAGTTTACATCTATATAGTAGTGATGTGTCAGACCTAGAGTTATGATTACTACACTAATAGGTTGTCTGGTCACACATATATGATTGTCATATACCGTATTTGATTCTGACAAATTACATGATGTCTGCCAGAGATCATATTAAAGGATCACAACTTCTCCAGAAATTATGTTCATAGATATTTTTGTGTCCAGAGATATTCTCATAATATTTTAAATGCGAATAAATTCATCGAATATCTTAATATTCGGAATACATATTAATTTTACAAGAGAAAATATTTCAAAAGAAAAATAATAAATATAAACATGAAATAATCTCAAAATGCAAGAAAATTGAATTATTGGGGTTAATCATAAAATTATGCATGTGTAATCTTGGCATGCACGATTGCACATGGTAAAGAAAGATGCTGATTATTATTGATCATAAAAGGACATAAAGAGAGGGAGAGGGGATTAATATAATTGAAATCAAAGGAGGAAGACAAGCAAAGGAATAATATCATTCAGGGTTGTCTTTCTTAAATGGCGTGCCTTCATAGCATGTATAAGTTAACCATGGGATTAATTAAACAATAATTAATATTCCATCCACACTAAGCAAGCTTTTGAAGGTGTTAATGTTGATCATGTATCGCATATGCCATGGAAG